TATTAAGCCTATCACACAATGCCTGGCAACAGGTAATAGGAATAGAGAATAGAATTTTTGACGCGTTGGATTCGTCGGAAATTTTCTTCCAACCAATCCAACGCGTCAGAAATTCTATTCCCTGTTCCTATTGCCTGTGCTTTCCTATTGTGTGATAGGCTTTACTGTGAAACCCTCTAAATTGAGATTAGACGTTTAAAATAAGAGTATAGTTAGTACAAAACTTTCGTGTTTATGTATGGGTGTGATGTATCGTAGTAGTGTGTCCGTGTGCTCATGTATATACGAAAATGGTAATTCTGTCGGTAATACATAGATGTCGGTAGACCCGCTACGGGATCCTCTTAATACGAAACGCTTCCAATCTAGTACGTTTTACGATCCTGGTTAGTACGAAGCAAAATTTCGGACTGGCAACACTGCTTACACTATGCAATGAACTCGCAATGCCTTTTTTAGATAGGGACCCTGAAGAGACTTTCTAGGTATCCGAATGAAGTACACACGTTGTTCCGTTCGTCAACAAATATCTATAAATCTCTTTGATCTTAACTGACCATGGTATCTATATTTTAGAATCTATGGGAAGCGATGATCGTTTAAGGACGTGGTATCGAACGTGTGTCCAAGTCACCGTTCAAGTCGCGGCAGCACGATGACGAACACAGGAGGTAAAGTAGTCGCGAATCTGCGGCAAAGGTTCGTGTCGCCGGGCGTGTTGCGATGGTTCCCCGGGCACATGACGAAGGGTCTGAAGCAGATGCAGCAGCGATTGAAAGATATCGACTGCATCCTGGAGGTTCACGACGCGCGGGTACCGATCTCCGGGCGCTACGCGGATTTTAGCAGGACCCTGACCGGCCTGAAGCCGCATATATTTGTATTGAACAAGAAGGACCTGGCCGACACGGGGCAGGCGAGGAGTATAGTCTCCTCGTTGAGCGGAGAGGGGCTGTCCAACGTGGTCTTCACGAATCTCAAGAATCAACAGTGCAGAGGCGCGCAGAAGATCCTGCCGCTGGCCAAGAAGCTGATACTGAACTCGCAGCGTTACAATAGAGCGCAGGAGGAGTCGTTTTCCATGATGGTCATCGGCGTGCCCAACGTCGGCAAGTCCTCTCTGATTAACCGTTTGAGGAGCAATATCCTTCGCCTGGGCAAGGCTACTCACGTCGGCGGGACGGCTGGTGTCACGCGCTCCGTATTGACCCACATAAAGATATCGGAGGACCCACTGGTGTACTTGATCGACACCCCGGGTATTCTAGCTCCCACCATCAAGGACGTTCACGCCGGCTTTAAGCTGGCGCTGGTCGGGTGCCTGCAGGATCACGTAGTGGGATCGTACCTGCTCGCGGATTATTTGCTATTCTGGCTCAACAAGAACGGCCGGTTTGAGTACGTAGAGGTGCTGGGGTTGCCGGAACCAAACGACAACGTGGCGTACGTGCTCACGTTCATCGCCGCGAGGCTGGGCAGGACTGTGAAAGTGAAATGCTCCGACGGCCGGTTAGAGGTCAAGCCAGATTTCAAGTCCGCGGCGGACCACTTTGTCAGTTTATTCAGGAAGGGAAGCCTGGGGTCCTATTGCTTAGACATAGACTTACCCGGGACGTCGGAGAACCGCCAAGTTAGCTTAGCCTGATGATGATAGTCGTAAAATGTATCATTTGTAAATATATTTGTACATAATCTACTTGTGGAAGTGCTCCTCGATCGAGCGCAAAAATACAGACTTTGATAGTTTTACACGAAGACGTCGGGCGACTCGAATAGTATTGGGAGAGCAGTGACCTTGAGAAAATTACCTGCCCACTTTATGGTCCAGTTTCACGAACGTCGGTTAACTGTTAACCAGAGTTCAGTCGACTTCCCATCTTTCTCAATCTTGTTGTCCAAGAAGAGACAGAGGATCAATCAACCATGGGTTAGCGGTTAAGCGACGTTTGTGAAACTGGCCCTATCTCGTCCTCGTACAAAGTCAAACGACTTTCGGTGATTGTCAAGATCCTGGACTTTTATTCCGAATGTCTTGTATAATATGTTGGAAGGAGGAGGGGGAGGAAGAACAATACATTTTTCAAAGTATCAAAAGTTGATTGATCAAGATGTAATACGACGATAAGGTTTGTTCTCTTCCAGAAATTGCGCTCGAAAAGGACCGAAACCCATGGTCGAAACGTCGCGCATCGTACATTCATGTAATTAGCAGCTATTAAACGTGTGCCAGTCAAGCCTCCGCTACAATGATTCTCTGTTCTGTCTACAATGGTCGTACAGTTGTATCGATGGTCGCTTGAGCAGTCGCAAAGCAGTCGTAGTCGTAGTCGCTGGAATAGGTTCAATTCCTATTCCAACGAACACGACTGCGATTTATTGCCGCGACGGACCAATCAGAGAATAGTGTTATATGTCGTGTGTCATTATATGTCGAATATATCGTGGGAAAATACCTCAAAAACAGAAAATCGGTTTCAGTTATACATCGATACGACCCAATCCATGACTCTACGATTCTAAGACTGCGACCATTGTAGACAGAACCGAGAATCATTGTAGCGGAGGCTTTAAGGTCGCTTAAACTTTCCATTATTTTTCCAAATAGTTTTCGAAGATGCGCGGTAATGTAATTTGTAGCGAAGGAAGCTCTGATGGGAAAATTTTGCTGAAAATGTAATGAAATTGATGAAAAGTGAAATGAAAGTTATTGGAAACTTGTTGAAACCATTTCAAAATAAATCATAAGTTTCGTTATGAAATTCAATGAAATACTGTGAAATTAGATGAAAGCTAATTAATATTACTAAAAATTAGTGAAAAAATTTTAGAAATGTATATTATGAAATTTGCAGAATTTAACTGAAAATAAATTTTTTAATGAAAAATTGCTGAAATGATAATGAAATTGGGTCAATTGCAAGAGATTTTCAACCAAATTTCAGCAAATTTCATTACGTTTTCAGCAAAATTTTTCCATCTGGGAGGGTATCACTTTCCCCACCCGTCTTCCTCGTGCATTCTCTCCGCGGAAGTGGGACATCGAGCCACGTGTCACTTCCACTTTTACCACGGTAGACGCTTCTCCCGTGTTTCGCGCACGCGGGAGATACCGTACAAGACAATTTAGGAGATGCCAAATGGTACCGACTCTCTCGACTATTTCGTTGTAAAAAACATCGGATTCGCCATTACGTCAACCGTTGATCGGGGCTGAGACACACGGGCCTCTATTTCATGTTTCGAAGGCATCCGAGTCGCCGCCGTCGAGCTAACGCTTTTCATGGAATTCATTTCCAGCGAAAATGTTCGCGAGGGCAACGTTTTACCCATCCTTGCTTTATAACGTCGTCATGGAGAGGATCACGGCTCGGAATTGGTACGATCGAATAGACGAGACTGTCATACTGGGCGCCTTGCCGTTTCGGCGAACGACTCAACAGGTGTGTCTCCGTAGATTTACTTTCGTGACAAAAACCGAGGATATATTTCAAATTGACAAGACTACTTCGATCGCAGTAACACGTGGTATTTATTAGGGCTCGCTATTATACGTTTAAACGGAAACACGTTTATACGTATAATTAGCTATCCGTTTATTAGAAACGTTTTTCCGAATACACGTGTTTTTACTTAACAAACGTTTGCACTACTTTACTTACTAAACGTTTAGTACAATACCTACAAATAAACGTTTTTCTGGAAGAAAATGTAAACGGATAAACGTTTCACACGTTTATTCGAAAAACGGAATAAAATCCGAGCCCTAGTATTTATGCCTTCGCAGCTTTTCATTTTGTTTCCCTATCTCTTCTCGTTTATTTTGTCTTCTCAATTTTTAATAAATATCGAATAACGTCACAAAACGGAACGTTGTTATGTGTAATTTCATGCGCACTTGGATCTTTCGTGTTTTGCGTCCGCCTCCTCGTCTATTAATCATACATTTAGGGTACGCCAAATCTTAAACTTGTCAATCATTTGAACAAAGACACGTTGCGCGACATTGCAATTTAGATTTTACATCCTTGTTCTTTTCTCTTCCAGTTGATCGACGATGAAAATATCAAGGCTGTCGTGTCCATGAATGAGGATTACGAGTTATCTATGTTGTCCAACACGGAGAAGGTGTGTGGCAGAACGACTCAAGATATGAAAATAAATTAGCATAGTGAGAGCTGGTATGAAACAATGAGCTTATACATGGCTTAAAAGTAACAATACTTTTTCTCCGTACAGGAGTGGCGCAGGCACGGCGTACAATTTCTGCAGTTGTCCACGACGGACATCTTTCAAGCACCGTCTCAGGAAAAGCTGCAGGACGGCGTAAACTTCATCAATAAATTCCGCAACGTATCGAGTAAAAAGTTAGGCGAGGCAGGTGTCGTGGACGGTCACGACCAACCTGGCACGGTTTACGTTCATTGCAAAGCAGGAAGAACGAGAAGCGCGACATTGGTTGCGTGCTATTTAATAATAGTGAGATCACATATGATACAGTTTAAATGTAAAACTGAAACATTTTGGCAGCGTTGACAGTGAAGCATCCTCCTCGTTTTTCTAGAAATTCAACTGGACGCCCGAGGAAGCGGTCGCTTATATGCGAACGAAGAGACCACACGTACTGCTCCATACAGCCCAGTGGTCTGCGCTGAAGCAGTTTTACACGAGACATGTACGACCTGCATCTTAGCTACAATTTTTTTGTACATTATACTGGATGTTGTTTATACCGAATGTGGGAAATATAAATGTGAGGACTGATTTCGATACTACGCTAAATGTATGTGCATGTCCGTTCGATTAGAAAAAAGCGTGGAGATAAAATGAGAGAAATCATTTACCGAGTCTTGCTAGTAACGGGTTCAACTTTCTTTACATGTGTGGCCGCATATTTGATGGCCTCTGCAATCGCTCTTTCCATACGTATCTGAAGATCCTGTGACACCTTTGTAGATTTCATACTCGCGACTAGCATGGGTTTGAATCCCTTAACAGGCCCATGCTCTGCATTAAAGATTTGAAGAATGACATTCATCCAAGTTTGTGCGTTAAATGTACTTGAGGCGGTTTCCTAGGCACAGTGATGAATATATTTTATCTAAATTAATTACTTATGTCAAATGCTCTCTGTATCAAAATGCTTATTTATGACTGAAGATACCTGCGGTATGGAACATCTTGCTTTTACAAATTCATTCGTACAGGATAGAACCAACATTGGCACTCCGGAAAAGAGCGACGTAACTTCGTGCAATGACAAATATGTGGGGTTTTTATTCAAGCAGTGCACGATAAAACAAGATGACGAATCCGTGGCGTTAGTGATCTCACGAATTATAGAATCTCTGCAATTGAATCGTGAAGTTAATCAAAATTAAATAGATTATTCATACGTGATATGTATATGTTGTATACCTTTCGCTTTCTTTCTCTCGTAGCCACACAATCTTGTTCAAATTCTCGAGATATGTCAAACATTTCTCTTTGACCAAGTAAGGTAACGGTACTTGTACGTGCTGATCATTGATCTCTTGTTTTATCCGATTTGTTTCAACGTTAAATGTCTCGTACGCGAATTCACCACTTTGCGAAGTGTCTTCTAGCTCTGCAATTCTCTGACACATCCTCTCGCCAGCTTGCTTCATACGTAAGGCTCCCGGGCCAACAACGGCCTTAACAATGCGTTTCGTTGCTCCCTTGGAGGCATACGATAAGAAACAAAAGTGTTGTAACACACCTGTATTATGAACATGCGTACCACAGCACGTTTCCCTAAATACACACAGTTGCTGTTAATAATTGATCAGATCTCAGCTCGGAGAATTTGTTGATGCTTAAAATTCGGACTCACTAACTTCGCTTTCAAGTTGTCGGTATTGATTTCTACGACTTTAATGTCTGTGTAAGGATATATCTCCCCAGGAACTAACGTAACGTCATTTTGCTTTAACAGATCGAGCGAATTTACAGTCTGTACAGTCGTTGCAGCACGAGACTGTATGACATTGTTAATGCAATCTTCTACCGTCCTCATTTGTTCCGACGTGAGCTGTTCGCCAAACGAGTTGAACTGAAACTTCAAATTATCCGCATCGACTGTACATCCACGTTGATAAACTACTTGCATAACTTTCTTTAAAGCTGCATTTAACAGATGTGCGGCTGTATGATGTTTCATTGCTCCAACGCGAATATTCGGTTCTACGCTGACCAAACAATCGTCCTCTATTTGTAAATGTAGCTCTGACGTGCTAGAAAAAAATTTGCATATTATACAACTTTTCACAATGAAATTAGAATACAATTAATATGTAAGAGACACTTACGGTAAGTCTGTTTCGGCGAAACGTCCAGAATGAATTACATAACCGTTTACCTTCCTGACATTGTCTACATTAAAAAGTAGATTTTTAACACGAATGTTCCCTCTATCTGAAACCTGGCCGCCTTCCAACGAATAACACACAGTCCTGTCCAATATAATTCCAATCTCATCTGCACTGTTTATCACCTCACCGACAGCTATTTTATTGTCAGCATTATTAACTATCGTAATATCGGAATAGCTTTTACTAGCAACTAATTCTCCTACGATATGAAATAGATATTCAATTTTAGGACTGCGCAGTACAATAATATGTGACAAAAATATGTACATATATGGCTCGTTTTCACATTACCATTGAGAATAAAGCCAATGAGTTTACTGCTAAGCGCTGGAAACTCGTAGGTATTTCCATCGTATGTGTAACTATACTTGAATGAATCGTCTGTTTTAGGTACACGATTTTCTTCAAGTATCCCCAATGACTCTTTAGTAATTACAGCACTATGTTTGTCCAATCCAAGCCTCGATTGATATCTACGAATATTAAGCTGCTCTTCGAAATCAACCTCGTCGAAGTGTAAAGATTCGATCTGCGCTAGTTCCGCTATAGTCTCCGAGTTGAGACCGTATGTATCGTACAGCTTAAACGCGACACTCCCGGGTAACACGTTGGTTTTGCGTCTGTAAATAATATTACGGGTCACCATACGTGTATTCACGTATCACGTATGGAAAGAGATACGATTATCTTACAATCCTTTCAATGCGGACTGTAGATCTTTATAGCCGTCAACCAGACCGGGAGCCATCCAATCGGTGATCGCCGCCAATTCGCGACGAGTTTCAATCATCTTACTCCACATTTTGCCAGAAGTATTCCGTAATCTCTTCAACAGATCCTCTTCAAAATCTATTACCCTTTGCACCTTGACAAGTAACAATGGGATCGTTTCAAACGTGCCGCGTCGAAAAGTGAGATTTCATTCGGTGCACACGTATCTGAATAATTTCAATTATTTTACCTGTTTCAAATTAGTATGCAATTCTGGATAAGTTACACCCAGATTGTCAGCTACGTCACAGGCAAGTTCTGAAATTATGCCAGATTTTCTGAAGACCTTCTCCCCTACACCTATCGCATTTCGCAATACTCTCCGCAACTTCGGGCTGAAATTACACATATTACAATTAATTACACATATACGTATGTCTAATGTATGTGGATTACATATAGTGGAAAGTCCCCTATTATGGGATAGGCTCCTAATATGAAATAGCGGGGTTTCTGCCAAATTGATAGACACCATCTGTTGATTCCACCGTGAATGTTTTGCCCTTGGAGTGAAGTCTGTTTAATGTAAAATTGATTGTTACATCGTGTAATCGTTGCGAGAAGAGATCTGCGATCGAATTTGGACGTTGAACACCCACTATCTCATATTAGAATCCTATTCCACAACAGAGGACTCTCCTCTATTGAAGTCGTACTGTTGTTCGGGTAACATATTGTCGGCCAATGCAACAGTAATCATTCTTGCGTGATCAGCTAGAATCCTGTAACCGTAGTCAATTCTGCCCGCATCGTCATCACCAAACGTTCCCCTGTACTCTGGCGCGCGCGAGTGCTTTCGTATCGCGTCGAACAACGGCTGGAAGAGGTCTGTATCATAATTGGACATTTTCCCTTGCAACAAGGTAACCAATCGTTCAAGTCCCATGCCTGTATCAACATGATGGTTTGGTAAAGGTACTATACATCCATTCGCAAGCCTAACATAAAATATTACAAAGTTGAATAGACTATGCAACTTCATATTAACTCATACAATTAATAAGCTCTTTGCGTATCACGTGAAAACAGAAAAAAAAACTTCTAACAATATCCAGACGTAACGTACGAGATGCGCAATAAAAAGTACCACACAATTATTGAGGTGTGATTGAGGCCCGGTTTCACCACACGTCGCTTAACTTTAATCTCGGTTCAACTCACGTTTGTCTCCTCCTGGAATAACGGCTGGAAAGAGATGAAGCACGAATTGAGCTAAGCTTAGAGTTAAGCGACGTCGGTGAAAGCGGGTCGAAAAGATTTAAAATGCTTGGACTCGAGAATCGACGAGCTCACCTCTCGTATTGGATAAAAACTATATTCCATAGCTCCATGAGATCGGCGTATCCCTTGTTCACTCGATCGGCTTGATTAGCCGGTCGTTTCACGTAGTCAACGTGTATCTCCGTGCAAGGCCCGCAAGGGCCTGACACCCCCATTTCCCAGAAATTGTCTCGCATACCGAAAGGCAAGACCTTGCATTCCGGTAGGCCAAGCCTTAACCAAATGTCCTTGCACTCCAGATCCGGACTAATTCCTAGCTCCTCGTTTCCGCCAAAATATGTCACGTACAGGCGTTCTTCGGGTATGCCGTATACGTTCGTTAACAAATCCCAGGCGTACGAACAGGCGTCCTCCTGAAAGCCACCAAATTATACAAATAAGAGGTACTGCAAATGAACTCGGAAAGTGAATACGACACGCCGTTTCTCATCTCGTACTTTGAAATAATCTCCGAAGGACCAGTTGCCGAGCATCTCGAAGAAGGTGTGGTGATAACTGTCGTTGCCAACGACACTCAAATCATTGTGCTTGCCACCAACCCTGATGCACTTCTGCGAGTTCGCAACCCTCGTCGCAGGGGGTTCGTAATAATTCAAGAAGATCCCTTTAAACTGAAAAGTAAACGTAGACGGTAATGTTGATCGGAGCAGGCTCCGTTATCAGACGCAGTTTTTCGCGGATCGAGAAGCGTACTTGATTCATGCCTGCGTTGATGAACATCAGGGACTGATCGGTGATCGAGGAAACGGGACTGGAGCGTATAAAGCTGTGCTTTAGATCCTTCGTGAAGTAATCTAGAAATTCCTGTCTGATCAGGTTAGCCGGTCTGCTGTTCGCTAATCGGCTGAACCGGCGAATCGACCTGAACGAGATCATTCCTCTCGCCATAGAACCCATCGCGTTGCCTGTAAACGAGTAATACGAAAAGCGGCCAGCTCGCGCAAAGAGCTCCATCGACGCGGAGGCGCGTGCACCAGGAGTTATCGCGTCGCGTAGCCAAGCATGGTTAGGAGGGCACTTTGACCATGTATGTATGTATGTAT